TTTCTTAAATTATTTATAAATTTATGCATTTTAAATGTCATTCTATGCAATACAAATTTTGATTTGCTGCAAGCGGCCACCGTCGTTACCATATGACTTGGCCATTATGTTTGATTAACAAAATGAAAACACGTGGATCGTGGTCGTGTGGTGTCGCATACCGAGTGGTATGTGTGTGTGTGTGCGCAATGATGTTTCTTTTCCTCTTCTCTCTTGCTTTGTTTGTTATCTTCAACACTCTCTAGTTGTCTCTTTTTTCTTTTGTGAATGACCGACCAAAATACCAAGGCCACTCGAAACTAGATTACGACGACGATCCCATATAAATGTGGCAGCTTTGTATAAAAAAGATGGTCAGTCAAAGAGAGAGGCAGAGCGAAAGCAAGGCAGAGAAATGTGATAACACAAATTCCCATAGATTTTTACTTTGGTTAATTTCTGTTTTGATTTTTGTTGTTGTTTTTGTTAGTAGTGGAGATCTCGTGGTATAAATTCCTTGTTAATGGGAGTTGTTATTGTTGTTGCTACGATTTTCAACTCTGCATAATAACAGAAAAGAACAACACTTAATTTTTTGTTACTCTCACATTGATATAACTGTGTTATCCACGTTGGAATTCAATAGACAGGCAGTATTATTTTTTTATGACAAGTACATTATTTGTACTTGGTTTCTCGTTGAAATTTTGGTTTTTTTCTTACTTTAAAAATATTAGGTTTTGAATAATTTTACATCATACTGTCCCAAATCTTTTCCTTTTCAAAAAAAAACCAACTTAATTTGCTTTCGCAAAATGGTGGATGATGATTTTATGGCTTGGCTAAATTTAGTAATGTTGGTCTATTTGGGTTGAAAGCGACGTCTTTACCAGCCAGCGTGCTTGCCAGATGTTCAATAAACAATAACAAGTTAAATACATAATACGATTGCACATTCGTTGTTGTCTCTAAATTTGAGTGTGTGTGTGTGCGCGCAAATTGTTTGCAAAACCGCTCACTCAGTCACTACAACTGCTGCTGCTGCTGCAGTCATATGGAAAATGTTTGCTTGGTAACAACCAGCACGTTTGTGGCTAAAAAAAAAATACCTAAAATATGCAGCAGCAACAAAGGTGATTAAAAACAAACAAGATTTGTTTGTTGTTGTTCAATTATCTACAGATATTAAACAATAATAAAAAATAAAACAAAACGGACTTGTGCAACCTATATTCATTTGCTCTCTCTCATTGGCTCTCATAATAAATATTTTTAGTCATAATGTTGATAAAAATTGCATGCACATTCAACAAATTATTAGAGAGCGTTTATTGTTTTTATTTTAAATAAATTAACAGTTGTCATGTTTCTTCACACAAGTTAGTGTGGCCTACCAATTTCCTTTGCACTCAATAACTAAACTTGGGTTTTATTTGTATTAAAATAAAAGTCACAATAATTTATTACCAAAGAGAATATTCGAAGTTGTCACAATTTAATTATTTAATTTTTCTATCAAATTGTTTCTTTGTAATAAATCAAAAATAAAAATGCACTTTTCCTTAAAAAATTCATTGATTGCTCTGTATTTTACATGTAGTTGACATCAGCTGCTATGATCTCTCTCACTCTCTCCCCTTGTGATGTCAACGGTGTAGTTGGCTCTTTGATTTGTGTTAAACTAAATTGTTTTGTTTCTTAACAAATAAAAATTCATTATAATATGAAAATCAAAATAGGTATTAGGCAATTGCATTTTTGTTGTTGTTGTTGACGTCAGCTGCCTCTCTTTCCATCTTTATGTCAAATGTTGATTGCATTAAATAAAATTGGATTTAACTATCAAATAAATTCACATTTCTCCATGAAATTAAGATATTTTATTTATTTAAAAAAACTTGGGTTCTTGTTCTAAGGGTTCTTTTTTCATGCATTTGGCTGATGTCTGTTACTGTCTCTCTCTCTGTCATTTGACATGCACTCAGTTGACGTCAGCTGCCATGCACTATCACTCCCTCTGTTTGGGGTTTTCCAACTAAATAGGGATTTTATTTAGCAAACAAATGCATTATTGTCAATGAATTTCACAATTTTAATATTTATTTTATTTTCATATTTTTATATTTGTGTTAATTTTATATTAATATTGCATTTTCTTAGATGACTATTCAACTTTCATTTTATTTACATTCAGTTGACGTCAGCTGCCATGCACTCTCTCTCTCCCTTTTTCAAAAGTTTAGTTCTTGTGCTCGTTTTATTTGTTAATCAAATTGCTGAATGAAATTTGCAAATAAAATCGTATTTATTCAATAAAATTCATAAATTTTACTATTTAGAAAATAGTTTTTATTGTTTTTGTATTCGAATTCACTTGGGTTTTTATTATATTTGCATATAATTTGCGGCGATACTCGACTGTTGTTCGTTCTTGCATTTGACATTAACATTGCCGCCAGAAGCCGTCCATTCTCTCTCTCTCTCTCTCAATGAAATGCCGCCTATGGATTTGTTTATTGCAATTTTATGTTAAAATTTTTTGTATTAATGTACTTTTACTATACATTTCAGATTTTTAAACATTTTTTTAATATATTTCTAAATACAAGTCGTTGTTTTAAGTGAATTTTAATTATTTGCCAGAATCAGAGAGATTTGCTGAGAATGTCAGCTGTTGCTCTTTGGTGCCGCCATTGTGTTGACATTAACTGAATTAGTGGTAAACGTAGAATACGTAAGGTGTTGTTCGCGTAATTCAATGTAAATGCAACGTTGCATTGAAATTACCAATTTTTCATGCAAATTGTGTTGAATTTTGTATAAAAATTAATGATATTACGATTTTTTTTTTTGAAATTATTTATTTGAGAGCTAATTGTGGGAGAATTGAAAAGGTATTTAATGACCTCAAAGTTTTTTAACTAATTTTCTCTTAATTGAAAGTTGTCTATTAAATTTCACTGTACGTAATATCGAAAACATTTGTGTGTTTCCTCATTTTTTTTTTCAATGAATAATAATATTATATGTATTTAAAAAACTACAATATATATTTTTAAATTATAAAACACAATTGTATAGGATGTGGCGTGATTGAATTTTGATTTGAAATTAAGAATTTTGCAACATGTGTTAATTTTCATGGCATATTTTAGTAATTTATTTCACAAGAAATGGAACAATACAAAATACCCCCTCTTCTATCCTTCAACTCCTGATGCACTACTATTCTCTATATACATATATTATCACTTGGTCTTTATATCTGTATTTTGCATCATTTCCTTTTTTATAATTATTATTACATCAAACAGCACTGGAATTTCGATATAAACTTCCATCACGCCACCAAAATATGTGGATAAACAAGTTTCGTTTGTAATAACAATCATCATTATATATTTATTTTTTGTTTTTTCATTGGAATCGTTTGTAAGACAAAAAGAATAATTAAATAATTCCACAAAAATATACAAAGTGATATTATTGTAGTGTTTGAATATAATTATTATCTTCTTCTTTTTTTGTTTGTTACAACAAAATTTATTTCTCATTGTAAAAATATTTTATATTATTATTTATTTTTTTCCTCTTGGAAAGTGTTTTATTTTTTTCTCTTATTTTAATTATTTTTTTATATATATCTATAAAATATTTCCAAAGATGTTGTTGTCGTTGTTGTGTACAGCAAAAATCATACTATTTCTCACACTACACTCTTCTTCAGAAAAAAAGAAAAAAAATCGTTAAACCATTATATAAAAAAGATGAATGAATATGTTGGCATTTCTAATTTAAGGAAAACAAAAGACAAATAGAAAATTATTAAAACGAAACAAAGACTTATAAAAAAGGAAAAGAAAAGCTTTGGAATTGGAATGCTCTCAAGTTGTTCAAAAATATATATAAAAATAATAGTGAAGACTGTTAAAAAAATTTAAAATGAAAAAAAAAACAAAAACAATAAATAAAATAACTAATTGGTATACTGATTTGAAATTAACGACGATTATCATTACTATAGTACCCTAATAATAAATAATACAAAAACATAACTACAGAACCCTATATCTGCCAAATGACAAATGATAACAAACAACAGTTGAACATGGTATTTTTGACATATATTATTGGGCAACTAAAGTAGTAACAAAATTTAATGATATATTTTTTTAATTGATATGATAAATTTACAACCCTGTTCGATTGTTATTAAAGAAAAAAAGAACAAAAACCAAAATCTCCTCTTAAAAACAGTGTTGCTTTTTATTATTTGTGAATGTTGTTTTTATGCCGGAATAATCCTCAGTGGCGGCAGGTTACGGTGCTGGCATGGTTTGGCTGACAAATTCAGTGGAAAATATAGTAGCAGGTCATCATTGGATGTAGATTTATTTGATTTCTCAAAATTGCTGCATGGTAAGCCACCACCACCGTTGCCTTACCACCGCTGTCGACGATGCACCTGTTTTGTTGTTGGCTGTTGCGCCTGCCTTTGATTATTACGTGTCTCAAAAGAAAATCAGCACTGTCCGAAGTTGAAAAAATATCCCACAAAACCAAGTTTTTGATTTTATTTATTTTTTTCTTTAATTCTTGTTTTATTATTATTTTGTTTTCTTTCTTAATTTATCATGCATTTTTGTGCAATCCCACATAGGTAAAAAGTGGCAGAAAACGAAACGCGAATCAATAAAAACTAAACCGAACTTAAACAAACACAAAAAATATAATTTTGAAAAGAAAATCGCCAGAGAATCGAAACAAAAACAAATACTTTTTATTTCCACATTTTCCTGTGTGAGAAACGACCAATCAACCGACCGACGACCAAATCCAACAAACCACCACCTTCTTCATCATCGCCACTATATCTCCTCATCACTAATTAAACAAAAGTAGAAAAACGAAACGAAAACTAATTACAAACATATAAACTTGAAAGCGGAAAAACACTGTGTGAGAATCTTTGTAGTTTGCAATAAACACACAGCAAAGAAAAGAAACTAAAAAAAAAAACAGAAGAAACTATAAAAAACAAAGACAATTAAAAAAACAATGCAAATACAGAGTACAAATGAGTAAGTAGGTGGCAAAATATATATATGACGTTAACTTGGCGTATTGTTTTTTTTTTCTCCTAAGCGTTTTAGCGTCATATCAAAAAAACCCTTACCCCCTTGTTTACTATCTCAAACAGAAAACACAAAGCAAACAAAATAATGCCGCAATCACCATTATGATCATCATCGTTGTCGTCCCTCTTCTTGGTCATCATTTTATAAGGCAACGACGGCGATGTTGATGATTGTGCATTGATGGCGCCGGTTCTAACCCAGTGCCTACCCCAAAGCAAAACTAAATAATATTATTTATATTTTTTTATATAATCACAACACTATATTTCATACCACACACAACCAACCTACCTACCAACCAGTTATTCATTCATCCATTTCCATTCATTGTCTGTCTGACGACGTTGTCCAACTTCTATTCACATCTGTTGTTATTCTCTGCTTTTTCTTTGTATTATATATTTTGTATATATAGCAGCAAATCTATATACCTATCCAACTATGCATCCAACCAAGAAAACCAGACTAGACCACCGACCCACCAAACGAACAATCCATTCATCCGTCCAATTTTGTCTGTCGCCCCTCTAACACGTTATACTTTTTTGTTTAAGACTACAAAGAAATACAGCATGGATCTAATGGAAAATGTACACAAAATTGATCAACCGACCGACTGACCGTCTGTAGATCAGCAAGACAAATATGTTGCAGGATCGATGGTATCATTTTTTTTAATTGGGTAACAAAGTTATTAAATCATTTTTGAAAAAATAAATAGATGAAACCTATCTTCGTCGTCCCCACAAGGGGGGATCCTATCAAATATTTTTTAAAATTGTTCTCTTTTAATAGGTCATGAAGTGAGGCAAAATTGTTTTTGAAATATATTTGATTTGTTTGTGATGTTCACATTGTTGTGAACCAGGATGATTTTTTTCTATTCAAAGCCATTGCTGTTCCTACGGCAGATCCTATCGTATTTATAAAATATAGAATTTTTATAAACTGTTTAAATACGGCCGGTTAATTTTGATAGTAATACTAAATGATTTCAATGGTATATTTTTATTTACTTGCGGAAGTCCATGCATGGGCGAATTCCAAAATGTTGCATTGCTTTTACAATTAGTCCATTGGATGTCCACTTCTTCAGAAGTATAGGACCCTTCAACCGCCGAGCAATTGACAACTGTTAGTGTTAATTTTAAACCGAATGGGAAATATACCCCTATGAAACTTTAAGATCCATATATCAGGAAGTATGGATTTCCGCAAGAAAAAAAAATATCATTGTATTCAGGGAAGGTACTTTATCAATAATTAGCAGCCTTTGGACGTGGCAGTATGTTTTTGGAAGAGATGTTTCATTTAAAGGCGTATATATGTTAATAAATTGCATAATTGTGAACAAAACATATACTTATCCAGCAAATTTCACCACCTAAAACCCGAATTTTTATATTTCATGTTGCAATTTCAACAACAGTGCTTTAACTTTGGGGAAAACATGCAGAGACATCACATCTAACCGTTTTATTAATCTTGTCCTACTCTGTTTTTTGCGCATATTTGCGAAATACCTATAAAATATATTTTACCTATAAATAATATTTTTATTAAGTAATTGTTTATATGTTCCAATAAATTTAAATTACTTTCCTTATTTGTTAGAAAAATTTGCAAAATTCTAATGAATTGTTGCAGCTGTTTTATAAAATCCCGCCCTTTCTTTGCCTAATTGACACCAATGACAGTAAGAAAGAGAGAGTATGATCATTTACTGTCAATTGAAAGAAGAATGTTCATTGATTTTTAGTTGCATGAATTTAGGGCGTAATGCAAACTAAATTATATCCTATTACTGAAATTGGGAAAGTTTAATTTAGTTAATATATTTAAATTGTGTCCTTTATTTGTTGGAATAATTTTCAAAATTCTTATGAATTTCTGCAGCGTCCTCAGCTGTCCAATAAAAGCCCGCCCTTTCTTTGCCAAATCGTCACCAATGACATTGAGAAAGGGAGAGAGAGAGAGAGAGAGGAGAATGTTCACTGACTGTCAAATGAATAGAATGTTCATTGACTATTAGTTTAGTGATTTTAGTGGCGTAATACACACTAAATTAATTCCTATTTGTAAAATTGGGAATGTTTAATTTAATATTATTTAATTATGTCCTTTATTTGTTTAAATAATTATTTTGCCAAAATGACTAATAACATCAAGACTGTCACACTATATTTATTTCTATATGAATTTAATTATATTTAAAATATTTAAATTGTTTCCTTTATTTGTTTAAATAATTTGCAAATTCTTAACAGCAAGCGCGCCCTTTACTAAATTGTCACCACCCCACCAATGACATCAAGAGAAAGTCAGCTGTTCAATGTCTGCAATTGAATGAAATTAGTGGTGTACGTAAGAAACGTAATGTAAGTCATTTCTTCAACGTAAGGGCTTTTTTGTTTCTACAAAATGGAATAAATGGAAAAAGGATACAATTTGTATACAAAAAATTAAGGGAAATTTTTTTGATAATATCCCGTTAACTGGTTGCACATATTTTTTTTATAAAAAAATATTGAATAACTTTATTATTACTATTGTTGTTGTTGCTATCCTATTTAATACTGACTGACTAGACAGAAGAATATTTATGAGCATCGGCTGCCATACATACCAACCCAGAAAAAAATAACATCCAAACCGCAATACAATACACAACACCATAATACATACTTTACACACCACCACCGCCACCTCTCTTCAAACAAAAACAAAAAACATCACAAAAATGGCAAATAGTAACAAACAATATTCGTTTGTTTGTTATATACACTACTTGCTTAACAGCTAACTAGGAGGTAGATAGATCAGAAGCCGTGCAACCCGCTAACTTCATTGCTTGTTCGTTCATTCTTTTTTGTTTAGATAATATTCTCTCGCTCTCGTTGATCTACCTCCGAGCGGGCAATGAAACCACCAGACAAGACAAAAACCAACAACAGCAACAAATGAAATACTGGTTTTGTTCGAAACATATTTAGAAAGTTGCTATGAACACACTACAATATTAGCCATACAGCTGACAGGCTGGCTGTCAGACAGACAGACATACTTCTTCTCTTGCTCATGATATACCCACTCAACTGCTGCAAATGATCAATCGTGGTGAGCCGCACACACGACGTCGTTGTCAGGCCAACATTTTTTTTGTTGCTCGAAGGCAGTAGAGATAGCAGTTTACTAACGGCTGATCCACAAAAGAAAAACCTGCTACCAACCAACACCACCACTACTACGAAAGAGAATTGTTAAGCTTTTTTTGAAATGCCAACGTTAGCGCAATCATTTAGCTAGCTAGCAGTTGATCGGCAATGCCAACGTCAACAATAAACACAGCCAGCCAGCCAACCAGGCAATGAATGGCTGGCTGGCTGTTGTTCGGCAATTTCGTCGTTCTCTTTGTATTATTGCATGTTCAAATGCAATAGGTCGTCGACGTCGTCATTGTGGGTAGTCGTCGTTGTTTGTCATATAGGTTTGTTGCATTTTATAAGTCGTTGTCGTCGTAACGTCTGTCTGTGGCTGTCGGATCAGTTTTGTTTTTTTTTTCTTAAGACTTGCAAAAGAATTTCACTTGTTCTACATTTTTGCATCGTTTGTCGTCGGCAATACAACAACAAAAAACTTGATTCATACGCATTGCCAGTCACCAGACACACACACACATATATACAGTTTTCTCTTTAACTCCATACTAAACAACAACAACAAAAAAAGAATGTAACTAAAACAAAACAAAAAAATCAAACGGATTTTCGAAAAGTTGCAAAACTTGTACCCACAAATATGCCAACAATTTAAAAAAATTCTGGAAAAGTTGGTCATTACATTTTTTTTGTTTGCATTCACCAAAATCTAATTGGAAAAATATCTTGTCGTCGCATGAATGAGAAAAAAAGTACCACTATGATTGGAATGGGGGGAGAGTGAGAACACACAACTTTGACACATTTCTTCAGAGAGAGATTATGCAAATCGTCATCAATTATTAGAGGAATGAGAGAGCCTTGTTTTGCTTTGTTTTGAATTATGACATAAAGAGAAATTGAACTGCTGCTGCTGCTGCACTACGAACAACGTGGCAAATTTAGTAATTAGAAGCTAAAAATAAGTTAAAATAATAATTATAAAAATATTATGTATGTTATGAGGGTAATTAGCACATACTTGTTTTGTTGTTTTTTTTTAGCTAGGGAGGGGGATTCACATAATGAAAAGAATAGAAATAGAATTGAATGAATAAAACCCAATAAAAATCCCCTTCTATCAAAACGAAGAATTCAAAACGTTGAATGAACAGACGACATAAACAATTGATTTTTTGATGCTTAGGTACAACAGGTTGCATACTCGGTTTTTAGTATTCCAAACTTCCAAATAAGAATCAAAATACATGTAATTATGTCACGGTAATCAACGTCGTCTTCAACTCGGGGACAATTTCAAAGACATAATTGCAATTTTTTACTAATTTTTATGCCCTTTTACGAAATGAACTTTCAAAATATTTCATTAAAAAATATTCAAAATTTTATTTTGATATTAAAAAGCTTTCAAATACATGTAACAAGCTTTCAATACAGGGAGCAACGCCGTCTTTCACTCGGCGGAAATTTTAAAGATACAATTGACAGTTTTTACTAATTTTCTTTTACCACATTTTATGTACTTTTAATAAATATACATAAAGAAAATATAAATAATTATGTAGCGATTCTTTTAAATATGTCAATTTGGAACTTGAACAAATAATTGCAAATTATTTCGAATAATTGTGGTCGCTTCAATTGCGTTCAGTGAATGCGCGCCCTTTACTAAAAAAAATGTCATACATTAAGAGGGCTCTCTCTCTCACATTGAATGATATTAAAGTTTGTTGATTCAGTTAATTTGTTCAGTGAAAGCGCGCCCTTTATCAAATGTCATGTCAA